CCCCGAAGTCCCAACCCATTCCCCAGGGCGGATGTTGCATCCCGCGTCGTTTTCTCATGGTCCCCGGGCCCGGCGAGGGCTAAGCCTCCGTGCTGAATTGCTCAACGCGCTGGATGTCGGGGGACCGAAAAGCGGGCACGGACAGCCCGCACGGCGGGGAGGGCCCTGAGATCCGATCCTGCGAAAAAGTACACCATCGCAACAAAAATCACGACCAAAACCCTGGACCCTACAGGGCAGTTTTTATACATAGGATTTCGAAAATATATGACTTTTAATACATGATTAATTCATTAATAAATTCATGCATTAATCATCATTGTTTTTAATACCAAATCCCTGCATTTCTTATACATGATCCGCACGCGGAGCATGTATTAAAAACGGCACTGTATCTCTCTGAGTCATTTCTGGAGCCGGATCGACGTGTGATGGTCCTGGGGCCCGAAACCATGCGAAAACGCCCAATGTGAGAAAACTGCACCGCCCGGATCTCGGACGCGAGCGGTCTCCCGTCGCCGCCGTCGTCGCCCGGCTCGAGGCGACCGCCGAGGTGCTCGGGGTTGGCGGAGCCCGGGGGCAGCCTCTCCGCGTGGACCGCCGCGGCTGGATGCTCGTCGGAGCCGCGCTGGTGCCGCCCGGGCGGATCCGCTGGCGAGGGCGCCTGGCGCCGTGCGCCGTGCGCAGTGCGCGCGCGCGCGAGGTGCAGATCCTGGCCACACGCACACTGGCCTCCAGCGCATTAGAAAACGTTATGGGGGAAGCTTGTCATTGCTTTCGACCTCGGGCCCCGGGACCGTCAGAAAACGACTCGGGATGCAAACCCGACTCTGGGGAAGGGTCTGGACGGCCGGGGACCCCACGCTGAAAAAACATGTCGGTCGTCGGGGGTCTGGGGTGTGGCCCCAGGCAAGGGTGGACTCTGGTGTGCGGCTTCCGGGGGGCGCGGGGCGGGGTGCAAGTCGAAATGCGCAGGCCAGGCCCCGTTCGGCCGGCACGAAAGGTCACTCCGGCGAAGCGTCACTCTTGCGCGCGGCCGAAGATCGAAGGGGGGGGCTCTGCACCGAGGCCCTCGGGCCGCCTGGACTCTCACAAGCGACGAGCATGTCTGGGGCCCCCGCTCTTGGGCAGGGGATCGGAGAACGCCAGCTGTCACGAGCGTGAACAGCGTGCAGAGACTACTGGCGACAAAGACATTCAAAAAAAAAATCTGGGGCCGAGAGTGTTCGTCGCACTTGGGCGTGTTGGGCCGCTTTCGGGCCCTTGGGCCGTCGGAGACCGATCTGAAAAGAAAAACTGGCCTGGATGGGCCAGGAGGGGGGTCCAGCGGTCCGACCTTGAGCGGATTTCATGGGACATCTCGCGGTCTCGACACCCAGGCGCGATCCTTCATATAGATGCGTTCCGCGCGGGGCATCCGCGCAGAGCCTCCGTGCAGCCATGGGGTCGCGGCCGAGGAGCCCAGAGCGCGAGGCTGCGGAAACACCTGAACTGCGGTGAAGCAGAAACGATCGGGTCGTACTCACGCCCAGATCTAGGGCGGGGCGAGGGGGGGAGCCTTCTACGGAAGCGCGAGGACTGCTTAGAAGCCATCATGGCTTCTCAGGGGTTCTCTCGGAAGCCTCCGATCCCGTCCGAAAAGCACACTGCCTTGTCAGAGGGCCGCGCCCCCTAGCTCCATCACTATAGCGCGCAGCTGGCCCCTTCCTCCTTCTTCGCTTCCTCCGTTCCCGCTGCATGGGCGACCTGGCGGAGCTTGCACAGACCGACTGTCTGGACGCCCACTCAGCCGCCCAAGGATGCCTCTCTCTGGAACCACCCCTGGGCCAACACGTGGACCGAGGACCGAGGCTTTGGCAAAAATCAATTCAAACCATCCCGTGTCGGGTCCGCGTCTTCAATGCAGCACTCGTGCTCCTCTTCCTCCTCGCTGCCGCCTCCCACCTCCTCTTTTCCAAATCGCTGCCTGTTCGCCTCCTCCAGACTTCTTCACCGCTTCCCGCTCTAGCCTGGGTGCTGCCAGCTGCGCAACTGTTGCTGCTTTGCTGCGCCCCTGCGGGGTCCAGCGGAATTAATCAAGTCCTTCGGGGATCCAAACTCGATCTCCCCTACCTGGGTGCTACCAACTGCGCAGCTGTTCCCACTTTGAGCGGAGCCCTACAAGGATCCAAACTGTAGGCACCTCATCCCCGAGAGCTGCCAACTGCGCAGCTGTTCTCACTTTGCTGCGCCTCCGTGATGCTCCAGCGGAGCGGAATCCTACGGGGATCCAAACTAGATCTCCTCTCCGTGTTCCCCGCCGCACAACTGTTTCGGCTTTGCTGCGCCCATGGGTGGTCCAGCGCAGTAGCCCTACACGGGCTAGCCAGCCTGGCGCACCGCTAAGCCCAGCAGACCAGCACAGCAAAGCTGGCACAGACGCAAAGAGGCCGAGCGACTTTGGCGACACTGGCATGGTGTGCAATTCCACCACAAAGGAAGGAGCATTGTATACCCCACCCGCGAACATACCCCGCCCACCCACACAGAGCAATTACTGTGGCGACAGAAGTGGGGGGATAACAGGGTACCGATACCGCTCCCTGGGTACTTTACTACTCGAATTCCGAGTAGAATCCAGCCGTGGCGATGAGGGTCTCCCAGGAGGCCCTGAAAAGGTCAGAACGAAGGACGAGCGGCGGAACCTGCACCTGCTGCTCCTCTGACGGCGGGGGGCATTGCTCGGACACGCCACGCCGATCCTCCCGAACCGCTGGCAACGCCCAAGCAAGGCCCTCCACCCCCCGCCACGACCTCCAAATTTGCCGCTGGCGCGTGCGCCTGCTCGGCCCGCGCCACGTCGGCGACCAGGCTCACCAGCGCCTGCTCCGGCGGGCCCGCGCTGGATCGGCACGGGCAGGCGGCGGCGACGGTACCGCTCTCGTTCAGCGGACGAGGACATGTATCAGATCAATGTTTCCGCCGTCGGGGATGCCTGCCCCAGGGCATAGAAAGAGTATACCCTGACGTGCTGACGTGCCACCGTGTGGGTATAAGCTTCACAGCCGCCCAGGACAGATGTTCCAAAGGGCGAAAAGGCCTACTCAGGTTACACCGGCATTCGCCCTCCAATGCCACCAGCCCTCTGGGCGGAGGTGGCTTAGAGAGCCCGTTCTGTTCCACCCCTTTCTTCCCTTCGGGGAAGGGGTTACCACTGTTCCCTATTAACATACACCCCTCCCCCACCTGGGCGGCGTCCAACCCGGAACCATGCCGACCCCATGAGGGCCCGCCCCCCACCATCCCTGTCAAACAACGAACAGTACAAACGTCACTCTGCGTCGACATGTAAGCACGCGCGGCCAACCCGATGCGGCCGAGGCCCCTGATCGAGGGACCCCCATGGCAGGAGCTTCGGCCCTGGGACAATGACAGGGTTAAAGCGATAGCCAAGGCTGCGTCCACCCCTAAGGACGGCATGGAGAAGATGCTGCGGGATCTCATGCCAGGTACCCATTGCATGGAAGAGCGGTGCCGTTTCCTTCTAGTCGACAACCCCTCTTTGGAGGTCACCTCAAGACTCCCGCAGGGTGCGCTAACCTGCCGGAGGCCGCGCAGACTGTGGATATTGTGCGCGCCCTCCTGCCTGCCACTCACAACGGCGCATCCGTGCGGGTCGTGGTTGGTTACCAGTTACAGTGTGCAGTCCTTGAGAAGGGATGGCCCCAATCGGAGAGCAGCAGTGGCGCCCTCAGGCAGGCCGAGACTAAGGGCAAAGGGAAGGGCGAGGAATGGTCAGCCCAAGGCGGCGGGCCCCCCTCTCTCCCCCCCCGCTTATGCCACCGGCACCGGGGGCCACGCGAGCGTGTTCGTACAGCGCAGCACCGTGCTCACCGGCATCTCCCTGCGTTTCCCCGGACTACGGCAACTTGCCGAAGAGCACCTGGCTAGCGGTAAGCTCACCATCTCCACCATCGATTCCAGTCAAGGTGGCGAGGCCGACCTGGTCATATATCTGACCGCCCGGTCCAGCAAGCGGCATGACTGGGGATTTCATGGACAACCCCAACAGGGTGAACGTGGCGATCGCCCGTGCCACCACCAATGTGGCCATCGTCGGGGGCGGAAGGATGTTCGGCACAGCCGCAGGGGCGCGTCTACGAGAATTGTCAGAGTATGGAAGATTCGCGAAGCTATGGGTCCTTTCCAAACACACAGAGGGCATGGGCACAAGGTGGTCGCTTGAAACCGATGAGGAGCTCGACCCCATCAATGACCTCACTTCGTGGATCCCCGGGGCCCCCTCCCACGCCGGGGATGACGTCATAAGAGGGCTCGACATCGCCATCGAGAGAGCTCGGGCCTCCATGGAAAACAACTTCGCCGACCGTATTGTAGCCCCGCTCGATCCCGAGTTCTCTTGGGGAAAGCTGGGCGACGCCATCGCAGGCAGCCTGCAGAGGCTAGTCGAGGGCCCGGCGACGGGAGTTATCCTTTACACAGTGCCCGGGCTACACCCCCATCAATGGTCCATTGGCGCCGCCCCAAGGATGCCCGGCAGCCTCGATCGGAAAGCGTGGATCCACCTCGGTTACTGCACTAACGTCGAGCGTGGGATCCACGCGAGCAACCTTGTCTACAACCTGACGTGGGCGGCTCTGGTCTGGTTTCTTGGGCTGGGCACCCCCTGGGCCAGCGCCCAACACAAAGTCCCCTTGGACACGCCCCCCCTTGTGCCTCGCGTCAAGGGCATCAGCCACCGCCCCAAACGCACCAGCCGTTGCACCCCTGAGGACGTGCCTCCCCAATTCCCCGCGGCCCGGAGTCAAGAGACGGGGAAATTCAAGCGGCATAGGGTACACCGTGGGATGCAACGCCTGCACTCCCTGCTCCGCCCAGGCCAATCCATCTCGGCGCTCAGACACACCCTGCGCAGCAGCGACGGGCGCCCGCTAGACACCCCCGCGCTCAGGGTCCTGGTGGTGATGATGTTGCAGCTCCGTGAGCCCCGCGCAACGCTCTGGCCTTTCCCGCACCCTGAGGCCACGGGGGACATCATTGAGGCCGCCATGGGCCTCTGCCTCCCCTGGCAAGAAGCCCACAAGGAATTCAGAACTCAGTTCGCCGCTACCTGGGGCCTCGACCTGTGCGCCCTTGCGTCCCTCCACGGAAAGATGGAGGGCGCCATCCGACACATCAGCGCGCTGGCCACCTTTGCTCACCATCGCAACGCTGCATCCGTCCACGGCTGCCCTAGGACTTGGGCAGAGGTGCTGGGGTATAAGTTCACCCTCGAAGCCCCCATGCTTGTGTTGGAAGTGATCGTTCAGCCTGCGGACATCAGTCATTTGGGCCACGGGGGCTGCTCCACAGGGAACTCGCTGGTGCAGATGACGGACTTGGCTGCCCACGCACTATGGCAGACGTGCAGTGCATCGGTGGCGGAATCGCCATGTCCAACCGTCGCCTTGACGAGGGCCTCCCTGCTTCTCCAGCCCCCGGCACCGTGCTCGCCCCTCCCTCCGCGTGCGATGACAGGTTCCGCAAGAGGCAACAGCATGCCAGCTACATTTGCGACGGGTGCACCACATCGGGGATCCAAGGCTCCTTTGGCACGTGGGAAGATGATGGCACGAGGGAACTACTGGCGCAGAACCGCGCAAAGGCCTACACGCAGGGACTGAATTGCAGGTGGCTATGCGATCTGTGCTGGATCAGGTCCTTGGAAAAGAAAGGAGTCGAGGTCCCCCTGCCCATTCGCATGGGCGGCGGCACCAAGAAGCCCCTGCAGCAGCGCCTCCAGGGGCACAGGCGCAGACTGGAAGAGGCTCGCTTTCGCAAGAAAGCTCGTCCCACCCCCCCTGGCCCGGCCACCAATCGGGAACGGGCGACCGAACGCCGCGCCAACCCCTTCTGACCTGAGGGGCCTCGTCGCGTGCACACCTCCTGCGTTCCAGCCACAAAAGGTCGGCACTGCCTCCCCTCCCAGCTCGCAGGCTGTCTGACGTCAGGTTTGGGTCAGACTCGCACCGCGCGAGCTCGTTCACCGCCATGTGCGACACATGCCCCCCCGGGTCTCCACTGCTTGTGCGGGAAGCCGGCCGCCCTGCCCCCGGATGTTTCACGTGGCGCCCCGAGCCAGGGGCACCGTGCAGCGAGCAGACAGGCCTACCCCCGTGGGACATGATGCCCGCCCTCTGGACCAGGCAGCAGTGGAACGCGGGATGGGCTTGCAGAAGGTGCCTCATCCACATATGGAATGTGGCGCCAGGCATCCTTGACCACATCCTCACCACCACTCCTCCGAGGCGTGCCCCCCTGCTCCCGCCAAGCGGAAGGTCACAGCGGATGTGCCAGAAGACAGTTGCGACATCTGCGCCTACCTCTCCCCAGCAGGAGTCAGCGCGTCTCTGAAAGACGCACGCTCACGACCTACACCCCTCGAGGATGGCTCGACACTACGTGACATGGAGATCAGCAGCCCAGACGGCCAACCGGGAGCAGACGGCGGGGCCCCCAGCAGCAGCAGCTTCTTCGTTTCCCAACGCGGCTCCGCCCGAGTGCCCCTTCTTGCCCACTCAGCAAGAAGGCGGGGGTATCCAAGGTGACATAACCGATGAGGCAAGGTGGCCGACCGAGCGACTGTTCCCCTTCCTGGACGCGGCGCATGGAGAGTCGATCCCAGCGAACGGACACCCCCCGCGCGCCCCATGGGACGGACAGCGTGCCGCAGCAGCCAGGGTGGTCTCACACCTGGCGGGCAAGAGCCAGAAGTGCAAAGGAGAACGGGGTCGCTATGCAGACAACCTTACTGACCAGAAGGGGCAGTGCCCCTTCCGACAGCCGTTCCACATCCTCCTGGCCTTCCTGACAAGGCTGGAAGGCACCGCGCTGGCCAGGGGCACCATCGCCCACCTCGCCGCCCTGCCCCGTGAGACGGCAGCTAGCAGCCCAGGCGGGGATGAGTCACCAGCAGCCAACTGGCTCAACAGGACCACCAGCAGCAAGGAACTCCCCGCTGTGGACCGCCCAGTGGAAGCGCAAGGAGTATCCCCGACCCGCACCGCCGGGACACCCCCACAGCTTGCCGAGGCTGACAGGATTCCCGTGCCCCAGGCAGGGGGGCAAACCCCACTGGGGCCTTGCAAGGGCGAAGGCGACGTGGAAGGGGTTGACTGGGGAGACGAGGGGGGCAGGAAGTCCGAGTCCGACGTCTACGCGCACTCAAGTCCGCATGGCATCTCCGTGGACTCAAGCTCGCAAGTCAGCCCCACTCACCCCGAGGATGACCAAAGTGACACCGCTCTCCCCGAGGATGACAAAGGGATCCCTGACCCCCTCCAGCTCTGGGAGAGGCACCGCCCGACAGGGCCCACTCAGAAGCCTGGTCCCCGTATGCACAGGCCGTTTCCAGGGAAGCAGCCCGAGATGGGAACGCCCCAGGCGACTTTCGAAGTAGGGATGACCTGATCCGGAACATCAACGACGCCCGGGACAGCAGGTCTCTGAGACATGCGGATGGCGATGGTAGCCGGCGACCACCCGCGAAGGATAACAACAGGGTCAGGGAACCTCGGGCCACCCCACCCCCAAGCGACGTCCCTCCTCAGCCGCGCGCCACCCAGGCCTCCTGGAATGACATACGGGGGGCGCAGCCACCCGCAGAACACCCTGACGACCCCATGGGAGGCGCCCCCATGTATATATGCCCGGTTGACGAAGCGGACGTCTCAAGGGACGAGCCGGCACAAGACGAGATCTCACGTCTGCAGAAGACGCTGGGAGGTGCGTTTAACGGAGTTTGGGGCGCCTAGGTCAGGAGGGCAGCCGCGAGGCGAGGGAGCTACTGTGCCAAGCTTGATCCCAAGCTAAACTCCGTGCAG